CGACCTGGTAGGGGATGTCTGTGACACCAACGAGGACAGGTAGGGCGGGCCAAGAGACGGACGGCCCTACCAGGGCTCCTCTACTTTCCTGCAGTACATTCTCTGTTTCCTGTACGGTTAGGCTCTGATTGCCCAGTACAGCTGAGCAGGAAGTCGCCCCTAGTCTAGCCTCCACCCCTGCCTCACCTGGCTGACCCCAGACTCCCGAGCGGAAGAGAGGGGAGGGGTGTGGTACTTTTAGAGCCTTCACTCGGCACCTGTTCTGGGCAGCGATGGGGACGGACATCAGGACACCAAGGACAACTGCCCACAGCTGCCAAACAGCTCCCAGCTGGACTCAGACAATGACGGGCTTGGAGACGAGTGTGATGGGGACGATGACAATGACGGGGTCCCGGACTACGTGCCTCCTGGTCCTGATAACTGTCGCCTGGTACCCAACCCCAATCAGAAGGACTCGGACGGTGAGGCTGGGGTCCCACAAAGGATCGCACTGGAGGGGGGGCCCCGCCCAGGGAGAGGAGGCAGGTGCTGCTGGGGAGAGGCCAGGAAGACAAAGCCCGATGGGGGGCGGTGTTGTCTAGGGGCCATGGCCAGGCCTTCCTGAGCACCCTGCCTCGCTCTGCCCAGGCAATGGCGTTGGGGATGTGTGTGAGGATGACTTTGACAATGACGCGGTGGTCGACCCCCTGGACGTGTGCCCCGAGAGTGCAGAGGTGACCCTCACAGATTTCCGGGCCTATCAGACTGTCGTCTTGGATCCTGAGGGTGATGCTCAGATTGATCCAAACTGGGTCGTGCTCAACCAGGTACTTGGGCAGTGGGCTGGGCAGGTGCTATCAGACCAGACTACCAGGTGGGGCCTAGGTGGGGCCTTGTACCCGGAACAGGGCTTTCTTCTTCACTGCACGCCCCCAGGGCATGGAAATCGTTCAGACCATGAACAGTGACCCCGGCCTGGCAGTTGGTACGTATGGGGCACCCAGTTTGATCCTTTCCACATGGAGGAATCCTACAGGGGCAGAGGGTGGGGGCCAAGCTGGCCATACATATCACAGGCATCCCTTCCCACCCTGAGTCCACTGTGGGCCAGTGGTGGCTTTGCTGCCCCTGACCTTGATCCCACCTACCCCCAGGATATACAGCCTTCAATGGTGTGGACTTTGAAGGCACCTTCCACGTGAACACGGTGACTGATGATGACTACGCAGGCTTTCTCTTCAGCTATCAAGACAGCGGCCGCTTCTACGTGGTCATGTGGAAGCAGACGGAGCAGACCTACTGGCAGGCCACACCTTTCCGGGCTGTTGCTCAGCCGGGGCTGCAGCTCAAGGTCTGCGGCTGCCCAGAGTCCCCAGTCCAGGGCCCTTTCCCAAAGCCTCCCTGAGCTGGCCCCAGGGCTTCCACCACTGCCTGAGTGGGGACCCTCTTTCTCAGCCGTCTGGCCTGGAGGTTGGCTCCCCAGGACTCCAGAATGTTCCCCCAACCACCTTGACTTCCTTCTCCACCTGCACTTCCCAGCCTGTTGTCTGGGTCCTGTGGTTGACCCAACATCTTTGCCAATACCCTCCAGGCGGTGACGTCAGTGTCCGGCCCGGGTGAGCACCTCCGGAATGCCCTGTGGCATACTGGCCACACCCCTGATCAGGTACGACTGCTGTGGACTGACCCACGAAACGTGGGCTGGCGTGACAAGACCTCCTACCGCTGGCAGCTGCTGCACCGGCCTCAAGTCGGCTACATTCGGTGAGGGAGGGGCCGAGCCCTCCTGAGGGACCCCAGCCAGGCTTTGCTTCACCTTCAGCTGGGACTCACCAGTGATGGCTCTTGACTCCCTTCTCTTCCCCTCCACTCCACTCCCTGGTGCCACGGGCTGGGACCCGGACCACCTCTCTCTCTCCCCTCCCACCACAGACGTCCCGCCTCAGCCCCGCTCTCCTCCTCAGGCAGCCTGGGCCCTGGTGCCCGTGTGACCTAGGATCTATAGGTGATGTTGGGCGAGTCCTTCCTTGTCGGAGCTCTGTTTTCCCCTCTGTAAAGTGAGGCCATCTCTGAGAGCCTCTAAACCGCAGGCCAGTCTTTGGAGAGACCCATCACATCCAGCCCCTTTAGTGGTGCATCCCAGAAGCCGCCCCATCACAGTGTCTGACCCGGAAGGGGTCGTCATTTGCAGAAGAGTAAACCGAGGCCTAGACTGCACACTTCTTAGGAGCAGGGCTAAGACTTCTCAGTTCGGTGCAGTGTGCACCCCTGTGCACTTCCTAGTTGGTGGGGGTAACAGGGAAGGGAGGGGAAATGGCAAGAGCCCAGGGTCCGGGGACTCGGGTTGGTTCCCCTTTAAGGTGCCTGGGGCTGCAGGGTGCCAGGGCAGGGGATGAGGGAGGGTGGACTAGAGCCTGGGAAGCGGGTGACTTCACCCCCCAGCCCATTGTGCTCATTGTCATGGCAACCCAATCCTCGCTTGGAATGTGGCTGGTGCTTTGAGATGCAAAGGGGGCGGACAAAGAGGCAGGGGCCCCAGGCCTGAGAAAAGCACCCGTGTCCCTCCCCTTTCCTTCCTCCCTCTCCCTCCTTCCGTTCTCTCTCTCTGGCCCGGTGAGCTCCAGGGGGGTTGGGGATGAGCAGGGGCCTGGGCTTGATGGCCCAGTGCCCACTGGCATCCTAGCACCCATGGACACCCCTATCCTGGACAGGGTGAAGCTCTATGAGGGTCCTCAGCTAGTGGCGGATTCTGGGGTGATCATTGACACAGCCATGCGGGGAGGGCGTCTTGGTGTATTCTGCTTCTCCCAAGAAAACATCATTTGGTCCAATCTCCAATACCGATGCAATGGTGAGGCTCCAGACTGAGATCAGCCTGACCTTTCCGCTGCCCTCGTGGGAGAGTCCTATCTTCTGACCTTAATCATTTCTCCTTCCTCAGACACAGTGCCCGAGGATTTTGAGCCATTCCGGAGGCAGCTGCTCCAGGGAAGAGTGTGAAGGGGCGGCCACTGGATTCAGAATCCTGATTTTAGACCCTTTGGCCTTGGGGTCCACCCCGGAGACACTGGGGTCTAATCTACAGCAGCTCAGCCAAATACAGACCCTCCTCTGGCACCCACAGGAGTTTAGCCCCAGAGGGGTGGTGACCCCACTGTTCAGGAGTTGGAAGTTTTCAAGGGATATTTTTCTCAGGCACTAACCCCAGGAAAGATAACACCACATCGCCATAAAGTTCCAGTGGTTTTCTAAGCTAGTGCATGTTGCTTCTTTTAGGGGTCTTCCGGGTTAGTGTGGAGAGCAGGAAGGAACCTGAGGGGGTGAGGAAGGGGGCTGGTAGGACGGAAGTCGGAGATCTGCAGAAGTTTGGCTGAGTGTGGGGCCGGGCGGAGGAAGGAAGGTGCTGGACTGGGGTAGGTGAAGGGTGAGGGGCTAGTCCAAAGACGGCTAAAGGCCTCCCAGCCCCACTTACTCACGGTGGCAGCGGCGACACTCCAGTCTATCTTAGGTCTTCCGGATCGAGAGGAGGGCTGGAGCTGGCCCGCTCGGGGCGAGGGGGAGGCCGGGGGGCCGGGGGGGCCGGAGGCCGGGACGAGTGCAATATTGGCGGGGGAAGGAACAACACTGCACCGCGTCCCGTCCCTCCCGCCCGCCCGGGGCCCGGGATCCCACTCCGCACCGCCTGCAGCCGGACCAGCCCCAGAACCGGCGTCGCGCCGGGGAGTTGGGTCCACCCTGGATGCCAGAGACTTGGCGCCTGGACGAGGGGGGGGGAGGGGACGGTGTGTGGGGGGGTGGCAGGAGGGGAGACCGCGGTGGCCCGGAAAGCCGCTTTCCGACACCCAGCCGTTGCGCGCGCTTGCTCTTTAAATACTCGGAGTGCGCGGCGCGGAGCCGTCGCCATGGTGACGCGTGTCCCAGCAACCGGACTGAATGGCTGTTGCCTGGCAACGCCGGGGCAGAAGTTTTGGGACCGCCCACTTAGATGCTTGCGCTTTCCCCCGCGGGCGGGTGGGGGGCTTCGGCGCCCCTCCGGCCCGCCCGCCCCGCCTGGCCGCTGCACGAAGCCGCGCCCCCCTCGCCTGCCGCCCGGCTTCCCTCCAGCCCCGTGGCACCGAAGGGTTATGAAAGTTCCTTGTTCAGTCTGCTCGTGGCGACCGAGAACTGTTCCTAATGCGGACACAACTGCGGGATGTAACCTTCGGAGGGGGCCCGACCCGCACGCTCCACGTGCGCTGTGCCCCAAACACCTCCCCGTGCCCAAACGTTTCTGCCCTTCGTACTTGTACCACACCATGACGCCCCCTCACATACAGTCCCCTGGTCACCACCATGTGCCTGCCTCCCCCCCAGTTGCACTCTGCTCCCCATGATACTTCTGGGCCCCCAAATACCATTCTGTTGCCCCACCTAGTCTCTGCCTCCTAAACGCGTCATTAACCTGCCCCATTTCCCCTCCCACATTCCGCTGTCCTCCCCCACATACCTCGGTGCCCCTCCCCCGTACCTCAGGACCCCACCCACTGAGCGCCAGCTCCTCCGGACTCCGCCCCCACGCGCCCCGGGGTCCCCGTAGCGCTGTCAGCCTCTCCGCCCGTGGAGCGGCGCGTCCCTGCGCTCCGCGTCCGAGCCCCTGACCTGCGCGCCGAGGCTCCGCGCGCCCATCCCCCCCACCCCCCACCCCCGCTCCGGCCCCTCCCGCGACCCCGGCGCCCCCTGGTTTTCGCGCGCGGCCGCCAGGCTCCCGGGGGCCGCCAGGGGGCGGGAGAGCCCGGCCCGCCGCCCGGCGGAGGACCGGGCCGGAAAAACCCTGGGGTCCCGCGAAGCGTGAAGTGGAACTTTCTTCCCCCGCCCCCTCCTCGGGAGAAGGCCAAGGCGGGAACGCCGGCGGCTGAAAGTTCCGGCAGGGGCGGGGGCTGTGGGTTTCGGTGGCTCCGCGTGCGGGCCGGGACAGGGCGAGGGCCGGCGGTTCCGGGCAGTGGCGGGGGGAGGGGGTCCAAAAGGGGCACCCAGCCCACCCTTTCTCGAGGCTTCTCGTTCCCCCCCAGCCCCCACAGCGGGGCTTCAAGGGGCGCAGTGAGAATGGGGAGCGGGGTGAGGGACGTGAGGGTGAGCTTCCTCGGCCTGCTTTCCGGGAGCCTGACCCAGCTCACTTCCTCTGTCCCTTGTCTCACCTTGGTTGTCGCCCTGAGGCTAAAGACGAGAGCCTGGGACACCCAGGCCCTTGAGCCCCCCCACCCTCACCGCCTTCTGGAGCCAGGGAGTGGTTGGTGAAAGAAGGAAACTATGTGGAGAACAAACAGGTTGTCAGAGGGTTGAGCGATTGGAGCCCAGGTTCCCCACCTGAGGGGCCAGGAGTGATTGGGGAGGAGGGAGAAGCAGGAGGTAGGGAAGGGGGAGGGGCGGGGTTTTGTCACCTGCCACCTGCTTGGGCTGAGCCTAGGGCGGGCCAGGGGCCGGTATAAAGCAGCAGGTGCCCGTGACCTCCCCACCTCACACGCAGCGCCTTCCGGAGCCTGCTCTGCCCCTTCCCCACCCGGTTCAGCACCGCCATGACGCCGGGCTTCTGGGCCCTTCTCTTCCTCCTGCTCCTGGTGCCCCTACGGCTTACAGGTGAGGGGCACAAGGTGGGAAGGGGGCTGCCTTCCTTATGGCCTCTTCCAAGCCTTTCTGCGGGTTTTCTTTGCTAGCAGATGGTACCCCAAGGGGCAGAAGTTGTAGGCAGGAGCGACCCAGTCTGTGCCAGAAAAAACGAGAGAGGCTAAGGACAGACGGAAGAGTCAGCCCCTCCAGGGAGCTGGTGCCAGGGGCAGTACAATGACCTGGAGCAAAGTCTGGGGGGAGGGAGGAGGAGGGGGAGGTTAGCTTTTAGGGGTGGAGAAATGGACAGCTGGGAGCAGAAGGGTCCACCACCCGGGACACCACGGTGTCTCATCCCCAGCCTCCAGTGACACCTCACCCCCGACCAGCGGCCCCGCCTCGGGCTCGACCACCACCGGGAGACACCACGGTGCCTCATCCCCAGCCTCCCGTGGCACCTCACCCCCCACCAGCGGCCCCGCCTCGGGCTCGACCACCCCCCGGGGACACCACGGTGGCTCATCCCCAGCCTCCCGTGGCACCTCACCCCCGACCAGCGGCCCCGCCTCGGGCTCGACCACCCCCCGGGGACACCACGGTGCCTCATCCCCAGCCTCCCGTGGCACCTCACCCCCGACCAGCGGCCCCGCCTCGGGCTCGACCACCCCCCGGGGACACCACGGTGGCTCATCCCCAGCCTCCCGTGGCACCTCACCCCAGACCACCAGGACTATTGCTGACACCACTCACCATAGCATAGAACCTCCCACCTCCTCCAATGGTAGCACTTCTCCCCAGTTGTCTCTTAGGGTCTCCTTCTTCTTCCTGTCTTTTTCCATTTTGAATCTCCAGTTTAACTCTTCTCTGGAGGATCCCAGCACGAAATACTACCAAGAGCTGCAGAGAAACATTTCTGAGTTGGTGAGTAGGTGTCTTTTCTCTCCTGTGCTCCATGCTCCCCCCGCATCAGCCTTCAAACTGCCTGACCTGTTTGCCTCAAGCCTTATTCCTTCTCCTCTCACCCCAGTTTTTGCAGATTTATGAACAGGAAGATTTTCTGGGCCTCTTTAACATCAAGTTCAGGTACAGTTCTGGGTGTGGACCATGTGGAGGGGAGGAGCGGAGGCTGCCGTGGCCGTGGGGGGATCGCTGACCTGAAGCTGAGACCCGTGGCTGAGTTGCCTGTTTCCCTGTGACCAGGCCAGGATCTGTGGTGGTCGAATCAACTCTGGTCTTCCGCAAGGGTGCCACCGACACCTGTGACGTGAAGACACAGTTTGAAGAGCACAGCGGGGAACTAGCCAGATATAACCTGTCCATCTCAGGTGTTAGCGGTGAGTCCACTGTCCCCGCCTGCCGCTCAGCACCACGCCTGCAGGGCCCCTCTCTCCAGCACCCAGGCTCCTACTCTTCCCCAGGGTGCTAGGAGGGGGAGGGTCACCTCCTTTGGGAGAAGTTCTGACCACTACGTTTCCGTTTAGTACAAGCTGTGTCGTTCCCTTCCGCCGGCCAGTCCAGCTCTGGGGTACCTGGCTGGGGCATTGCCCTGCTGGTTCTGGTCTGTGTTCTGGTTGCACTCGCCATCCTCTACGTCATTGCCCTGGTAAGTGTTGGGTCTCCAGGCCTGACCAGAGGCCCCCTGCTGGAAGGAACCCCCCGACCCCCGACCCCCGTTGCGTCCTCCTTTCCCCAGGCTGTGTGTCGGTGCTGCCAGAAGAACTGTGGGCAGCTGGACCTCTTTCCAACCCGGGACGCCTACCACCCTATGAGCGAGTACCCCACCTACCATACGCATGGGCGCTATGTGCCGCCAGGCGGCGGACGCAGCCCCTATGAGGAGGTAGGAGGGGCCCCACGGGGGCAGGGAGGCAGAGCCTGGGCTGGGCAGGGCTTCTGAAAGCCCAGAGAACCTAGAAGAGGTGAGAGGCTGCGGGAGGGCCTGGCAAGGGGGCGGGGTCAGGGGGCTGGGGTGGGGGGAGACCTGGTGAAGGGACCTTGGGAGGAAGGGGATCTCAAGGGTGTCCCCACGACCAGCATTTGCTGGTCTGCTGGCCAGCACCGGGGAGCCCTCCACGCAGGACTCCCGAAGGAATGAGCACCTGTGCGCCCCGCACTCAGCTCCCAGGAGGGGAGCGTCGATTTAGAAAGGCCAGCAGGAATGGGGGGTGTCTGATGCGGGGGAGGAGGTCTCACCCAGCCAGGTGAGCTTGGTGCCATGGGATTCTCGGGAGGCCCAGGGAAGCAAGGAGCCCTCCTACTTCTTTCCTCACCTGGCCTGTCTCCCCAGGACCTAGTAAATAATTACTTCGGCCACCTAGGGTCGGAGCACCACTGCGGGGTGGGGGGGGTTCCTTTCCTCGACCCTGTTTTCCTTCGCCCAGGGACTTCCTCGTCTCGCCTCGACAGAGGCACACACATGCCTGCTTGGGCTGGAGGAGCAGAGGACGGATGGAGACGGGGGCAGCAGGGGAGGACAAGCGGGGTGATGAGAGCCCAGGGGAGGGAGTGAAGGGGGCGGTGTGGGGAGGAGCAGTCCTGGGCCCTGTTTACAGGCACTTGGCCGCAGGCGGTGCCTTGGCAGGTGCTCTCCAAATTGACCCTTTGAGAGTGAGACAGCTGGACCTATTACCCCAGCCTGGGGTGTGATCTGGGAGCCCTGGAGGCACTTTCTCCCAGGAAAGCTATCGCCTCTCAGCCTGGGTCTCCTCTCCCCACCTAGGTCTCGGCAGGCAACGGGGGCAGCGGCCTGTCTTATGTGAACCTGAACCCATCAGCCACTTCCGCCAACTTGTAGGAGCACGTTGCCCGCCGCCCTGAGCGTTGGGACGCCAGTGCCCCGTGCCTCCCCCAGGCTTCTCACTGCCAGAGTCCTCGCCTCTCAAATCTGTTTGGGGCTGGTGAGCTGGGAGTTCGGGTGGGCTGCTCACAGGCCCCACCAGGTCTCCTAACCGATGTCAGCCCTCCTGAAGCCCATCCGAGCCCCTTGGGAACAGGCCTGGGACAGTGGCTCCCGGGAGGACCGGCCCAGAAGACCCCGAGATGGAAGTGCAGACCAGACCGGGGCTGAATAAAGCGGGGACCTCCTCTGTGCTGACTGCCAACTTTGGATCTGTCATCTGTGACCCTTAGATTGGGGGGGGACAGAATGTGTGTGGGGGGGCTTGGAAGGGGTCTTTGCAGGAGACGGGGGTGTGTAGAAGGCAAGAGTAGGGTTCATTTGGAAAGCAGGAGATGTGGAGAGGAGATGACATTGGGGCACAGGTCACCTCTTCCCATCCCTGGTGGCACAAGAGGAAGAAGGAAACGAAACTGAGTTGGTTGGAGGCCAGCATGACCTGAGGCCAGTGTGACCCAGCTCCACCTGCACCTGCGGAGAGGGCTCTCCCCTCTCCTGGGCTGTGGGCTGGTGGCTGGGGGCAGCCACGCCCTCACCTCCCCTTGGCCCGGTGCCCCCAGAAGCTCTAATCTTAGCTGCGGGGGTGTGAAGTAAGTGTGTGGGCAGCGATAACAGGCAAAGTCAACATGACCGTGATAAGCACAGCATCAGATCCGAACGCTGGCGCCCGGCCGGGCCCCCTCCCTGGCTGGCGGGGTGTGCCCCAGGCACCCTGGGAATGGCAAAGTTGTTCTGGTTCCCTGACCCCTTTGGACCCAGGCACAGTGCCCGCCCCTCTCACCACATGCCCTGGGGGCCTGGGCCCCGCCATGGCCAGCAGCCACCAGTGCCATGCGCCCCCAGTAGGCCACCCATCGGCAGGGGCTTGAGCCAGAACGTGTGTGGCAAGAGGAGGCTCAGGAGCACCTGCTTGGGACCTCCTTCCCTCAGGCGCCAGATCCCCTGAGCACCCCTGCTCCGAGCAGTGGCGGATCTCCCCGACTTTCCCACGTGTCACGCCCAGCACAGAAATGAAAAGCGATGGTTGGGCTCAGGGAAGGCAGAGGTGTGCCTAGCAATGTCGTTTATTGTTTAGAAACCGTGAAAATATCAGCTGCTGCTTGGCACAGGCCTGGCAGTGCCCACTGCAGGGGACAGCAGCGGGCCCCAGAGGCCTTACCTAGCCCAACCCACCGGGGACACCCAACCTCCGCTGGCGTCCCCAAGGAGACTTGGCACGTTGGCATATAGGTGCAGGACGGGGTGAAGCATGCAAGAGGGAGGAGGAGAAAAACAGGCATGCAGCCGAGGGCTGTGGGAACCCCAACAAGTCAAGCAGGACGACTGGGTCCTCTTCTCCTCACCAGGGAGTGCCTGGGCAGTGTCCGGCCAAAAAGCCTACCTGCCCCAAGGCTGTAGCTCAGCATCGATGGGGCAGGGAGCTTGGCAGGGTGGAGGGCGGAGCGCAGAGCTGGGGGTCATGCCCAGTGTTCCAGGTGCCTTCCCTCCCAGTCAGCCTGGGGAGGGGCACAGAACAGCAATGGGGAAGGGGCTCTCTCCGTGACTTGGGTGGGATGCCAAGGGCAGGGTGTAGGCCAGAGACTTGGTGGGGGCTGGGGCCTGGCTTAACAGGCAATGGAGAGAATGGGGGACGTCTAGAAAGGTGAGCAAGGGAGAGTCCCTTGCTCAAGAGAAGGCCCCGGGAATACAGAGACACAGGGTAAGGGACAGGAAGACATGGTAGGAAGAGTTTGGGGAGAAGCTGCCGGAGGAATAACCCGGCTCAGCAGGCCTGGAGGGCCAGGGCCCAGGAGGGGCCAGAAACGGTCAGTCGAGCTTGGCAAAGCCCCCGATGGTGACCTTCCTCTCAGGCTTAGTGCCCACAGGCTCCTGGAGTTGCACTGCACCACCCCCAATGAAGCAGAAGGCAGGGCACACGGGCCCCGAGCAGTCCAGAGGGCACTCCAGGAGCCCGCGAAAGGACACAGCATCCAGGAAAGACACGCGGCCCCGCTCATAGTCCAGGCAGATGCCCAGGCGGGGCGGCAGGGGCACGGTGCAGCTCACCGCGGGGCCGTCCCGCCCCGTCAGCCCTGCGTTGGAGCTGGCCCCGGAGCCCAGCAGGATCTTTCCCATGCCGATGGTCAGGAAAGCGAAGGGCGGGGACGCCTCCACCGTGGCATCCTCGGCACCGCTGTCGTGCCCACTGTCCGGATCGTACCTGCAGGAGCGGAGTTGGGTAGGACAGTGTTGGGGGAGAGGGAGGGGTGGGGTGGGGTGGGGGGCAGAGGGCTGAGACGTGGGAAGGATGGGATGTTGGGGAGCAAGTGCCTGAAAGGACCGATCTGGGGTACTGAGAGGACGTTTCGCGGACACAAGGGTTAGACTCCGGGGCTGGGGTGTGAGTCCAGGGGGAAAGGGGTAGTGAAAGCAGGCGTGTTGGCAGGAGAGGTGGCGGAGATGGAGGTGAGGATCGGATGCTGTGAGGAGACAGGAGACAAGAAGCTGGAGAGGAGAACCGCGTGGGGACGTCGTGCTGGGGAGGGTCTGGGGAGGGCTCCAGAATGTTGAGGATGACGGCTTTGTCACTGAGGGACGGGGGAGAGAAGGCTGGGTGTTGGGAGGGGGGTGGGGTGGGGGATTCGTGTTGGCGGGAGAGCTCTGAGAAGAAATGGGGTGTTCAGGGATAGAGTGCTGGGAGGAAGGGTTCGGGGAGGCACATGCGTTGGGGGGTGTTAGACAGCATGTTGGCAATAGAGCGGATGGAGGTGAACCCTTTAAGGGAAGGATCTCAGACGTGGTGAAAGGAAGAAAGAGCGTGTTGCTGAGAAAGCACGTCGGAACAGGGTGTTGGGAGATGCAGAGGCTCTCGGAGACATGGTGTGGTGGTCCTGAGGACAGGTGGGAGCAAGCGGATGGCTCCTCTCCTGCAGCCCTCTCCCAGTCACACACTCCTCCGAAAACCAATTCTCCAAGCCCTTCTGCTAAGCCCACGCTTGCCCCGGCCGCAGGCCCCAGCCTGGCACCCATGCTCTTAAACTCCCCTACTCCACCCCAACCAGCATGAGCTCCTCTTGCCACCCCTATCCTGTCTCCAGCTCCCCCACCCGGACCCTCACACCCCGCCTCTCCCCCCCCCAGAGAGGCCTGACCTGGGGCTGATCACATCGGGGGCGCCCTGGAAGCTCTCCTGAAGCTTGCTCTCCAGCCCGACGCCCACCTTGACCAAGTAGGAGGCTGGGTCGACGGCACAGGCCCAGTAGCTGCGGCCCTGGGTCACGGCCACGTCTCCCAGGACCACATCCACGCTCAGGTGGCAGCCGGTGAGCAGCCGCTCGGCAGCCAGCAGCAGGGGCAGCCCCGGGACACTCCGCACGGCTCGCTGGTCCTTGCTGATGGCCAGCCGCTCTCGGCTTGCGCCCCAGCGGCCATCGAGGAAGAAGTGCAGGACTGCAGTGGGGGAGGGGTGACAAAGGAAGGCCTTGAGGGACAAACCCAGGCCGTGGAGGTCGTGAGGTGTCAGCAAAGGACACTGGGAGGTTTCAGAATGTGAAACAAGCTGCCAAGGGATGGGCGGGGGCTCCAGGGACCAGGGCCTGGAGAACTGCAATGGGAGACACGAGGAGAAAAGAAGGGGGGACGTGAAAGGGGCAGGGGACCCCAGGAAGAGTTTTCGTGGGGATTAGTGGGCCCAGAAGCCAGTCTCCCAGACCCAGCCGACCTGCAGTGCTTCCTCCCACCCCTCCTATGCTGGCCCCCACCACCGACCTACACCTTCCAGCGCTCGCTCTGGTGCTCACACCCGGCCCTTACACCCCACTTGGGCGGTGATGCTCTGGTATGGCTTTATGCCTGTGCCCCAGGGGCCAGGCTATTTTCTGGGGAGTCACTGTCCTAACCTCTACTGGGCCCTTACTATGAGCTGGACGCTCACCGGCTTCATTCTCGTAACAGTAACATTGCTATTATCGCTGGAGAAGAGGGACTGGGAGTTCAGAGAGGGCCAACGACTTGCCTAGAGCCACCGCTGGCAAGAAGCAGAGTGGGGATTTGACCCCAGGCAGTCTAGCTCCAGAGCTGGTGAGAGTGGCCCACTGTGTTGCTCCCCAGTGCCCGCCCAGCACCAGCTAATAGTGCGGCGAGGCGGTCCCAGCATGCCCCGCGCCCGCCCACCTGCCCGCTCACCGGGTGCCGGGGGCGTGTGCAGGTGCACATCTTCACTGTACTCGCCATAGCCCGCCTTGTTGCAGCCCCGGACGCGCAGCACGTACACAGAGCCTGTGTCTGGGTTCTCCAGCAGGGCACTGGTGCCCCTCACCTCCTCTCGCCGCTGCCAGCGGGCGGGACCCGGCTGGGCAGGCGCATCGGTGCGCCGGAACTCGATGGTGTAGTGCCAGGCAGGTGGCGAGTGGGGAGGCAGCCGCCAGCACAGGAATATCTGGTCGTAGGCGAAGGTGCGCTGTGTGTCGATGACGGGAGCCTCGGGGACTGTGGGAAGAGACAGCGGGGGTCAGTCAGGGCCTGGTCACGGGCCTAGCATGGAGGGCAGGCAGGTAAAGGGAAAGCAGCGGGGGCCGGGGGGGTGAGTGTGGGTGAGAGGGAACTCAGGGTGAGGCCATCTGGGTGCCGGGCAGGGAGGGGCAGGGCAGAGCCCAAGGGAGCAGGGGAGAGGCCGGGGCGCAGGGGGCGGGAAGCCTCGTGCGGGTTCTGGCCTGCCATTCTCCCAACTCCAGCCTTAGGGCAGTCGCTTCCCAAGTCTGGGCTTCAGTTTCCTCCTCTGTCAAAAACAGTCTTAGACCAGATGGGGACCCTTCTTTCTAGGACCTTTTTTATTCTATGAATAAAGAGGAGCCCCAGGGAAAGGCAGGCAGAGGCCACCGGAGCCCGGGGAAAGAGCACTGGACAGGAAGGAGGGGCAGAGGGGGGACAGATGTGAGAGCCAGCAAGGCAGAAAACAGGGGACAACAGAGGACAAGCAAAAGCTTGACGATGGCAGGAGACGAAGATCAAGGGGAAGAGAAGGGAAGTCCCTAGCGCAAGAATCCCAAGGACGGAAGCTCAGAAGGGCAAGGACTAGGCAGGAGCTTAGGGCAGGCAGACAGAGTCAGAGGGCACTGGTGGGGGGTGGGGGCAGGACCAAGAGTCTGGTGAAAGGCAGGACAGAGAAGGAAGCAATGAATGGGTGGCCGAGCTGTGTGGGGGCGGCAGGGCAGGGCC